AACAGGTGCAGGGCGTCGTAGAGAAGCTCATTCCAGGCCGAGGGGCCCGCGTGTGCCCGCCGTCAGGGGCTGTGGCCCAGGAGAGCCCTGCCCGGTGTCCAGCTGCCATGGCTAACCCAGCCCCCAACGGAGGGCCTGGCCCTTCTGTGTCCCCCCAGCTCGGGGCGGTAGCGCATCCTCCGAATCGGAGAGATGGGGACACAGCCTTCTGGGCGCAGAGCCCGAAGCCGAAGCCCAGGGTGTGTTTGCGATGCTGCCAGACCCTGGCTCCCCTCCCGGCCTCCTGCAGCCCCCGCCCTCGCCGCGGCTGCGCACGGCCCGTTGCCTGTTAAGAACCGGCCTCCGCTCCCCCTGGGACCGGGGGAGGGCCTGGCAGCGGCCGCCAGGATCCCAGCACATTTTCCAGTCTGGCCTGCGGTCTGTGGTTCCCGGGGCTCCTGTGAGAGGGGAACGGCGGCCCCTCTGGGCTTCTGCCCGTTTCTATTCCCGGGAGCTGCTCACTTCCTCCGTCTGGGCAGCGCTGTCTGCCACCGGGGGGCCGTTTGCACGGCGCTGGGGCCTGGACACAGCCATGGCAGCTGGGCGCACCCCTGCTCCAGGCCTCTGCCCCCTCCTCAGCAGGGCTCCCACCGCCAGGTCCTCTCAGACACTTAGTAACCATATGCCTCGGTTTCCCCATTTGTGAAACGGAGCAGTCAGGCGGTCTTACATGACCAGGAAGGGAGGTGACAGGCAGGTGACAGGGGAATTCCCTGAGCAGGTGGTCGCACAGGTTCTCTCCATCGCCGTGTTTCTGCCAGCCCTGTCCCAACAGAGTGAACATTCCAATGGGGGAATGATACCTGGCCCCGACTCAGTGCTGCCCCCGGTGGTGATCTCTGGTACTGGCCCCCGAGTCAGTGCTGCCCCCAGTGGTGATCTCTGGTACTTCCCCTGACTCAGTGCTGCCCCCAGTGGTGCCCGCTGGTACTGGCCCGGCTCAGTGCTGCCCCCGGTGGGGCCCGCTGGTACCTGCCCTCTCCTCCTTGGGGGCAGATGTAAAAGCAGTGAGCACCGCAGAGCCTTAGAGAGTCATGGGTGCCAGCTGCAGCCAGATGTGAGGGAGGGTGTCCAGGACAGGGGTCGTCCCGAGGCCGCTGGCCGGGCCTCTGGGCACTGCTACCTCGGCCCCACCTCGGACAGTCCCCCCGCCTCCCAGGGGCCTTTGCTCCGCGGTGCTCGCTCGTGCGCTAATCTGCCCTCTCTCACTCAGCTCCATCGTCCTCGTGGCGTCCAAGGGAAGGTACATCTCCAGAGGCCCGTGGACGCGCGTGCTGGAGAAGCTCGGGGCGGACAAGGGGCTCAAGTTGAAAGGTGAGGGGTTTGGACTGGGGTGTCTGAGTCCCGATGCCTGGGGCACAGGCGCGCCTGCGGGGGCTGAGACCAGCTCCTCCCCTGAAACCTGGCACAGCCTCTCATTCTAATTGGGGAATGATGCCTGGCTGTGCCAGCGCTGCCCCCGGTGGTGCTCTCTGGTACTGACGTTAACCCTGTGCTGCCCCCGGTGGTGATCTCTGATCCTGGCCCTGGCTCAGTGCTGCCCCCGGTGGTGATCTCTGGTACTGGCCCTTGCTCAGTGCTGCCCCCGGTGGTGATCTCTGGTACTGGTCCTGGCTCAGTGCTGCCCCCAGTGGTGCCAGCTGGTACTGGCCCTGGCTCAGTGCTGCCCCCAGTGGTGATCTCTGGTACTGGCCCTGGCACAGTGCTGCCCCCGGTGGTGATCTCTGGTACTGGCCCTGGCTCAGTGCTGCCCCTGGTGGTGATCTCTGGTACTGGCCCTGGCTCAGTGCTGCCCCCGGTGGTGATCTCTGGTACTGCGCCTGGCTCAGTGCTGCCCCCGGTGGTGATCTCTAGTACTGCCCCTGGCTCAGTGCTGCCCCCGGTGGTGATCTCTGGTACTGGCCCTGGCTCAGTGCTGCCCCCGGTGGTGATCTCTGGTACTGGCCCTGGCTCAGTGCTGCCCCCGGTGGTGATCTCTGGTACTGGGGCCCTGGCTGTGCTGCCCCCGGTGGTGATCTCTGGTACTGGCCCTGGCTCAGTGCTGTCCTGGTTGCAGGGCAAGTGCCACCTCTACACACTTTCCTTAATTTTTTTTAAAAAAACTTTTGTTAATGCTCCCCCAGGATATTTTTCCATTGATTTTTAGAGAGCGTGGAAGAGAGAGGGAGAGATAGAGAGAAGCATGGATGTGAGAGAGACACATCCATGGGTTGCCTCCTGAATGCATCCTGACCAGGGCCCGGGCCAGGGAGGAGCCTGCCACCGAGGTCCGTGCCCTTGACCGGAATCGAACGCAGGGCCCTTCGGTCGCAGGCTGGTGCACTATCCACTGAGCCACACCGGCCAGGGCCAGACACTTCCCTTTACGTGTGACCAGACCCTGAAGGAAGCTGTTGGCGTTGCTCATCATCTACTCAGCAAGTGGCTCTTTATTTCAACCGAAATATCTGCAGAAAGTGGCTCGGTCTGACCTCTCCCAGTTCTGGCCGCTCAGGTGGCTGGGACCCCCCACCGCCTCCTCAGCATCCCGGCCTGGGCCCATTTGCACAGGTGCTGCGTTCGCAAAGCTCTCATTGGTTCCCCGGAGGTTATCGGGGGAGAGCCAGAGACCCAAGGTCACCCTGGTCAAGGTCACCCTGCCCTTCTGGGCTGCAGCCTGGCACAGCCCACGGGGGGCGGGGGGCGGGGGCGGCTGGCAGAAGCGTCAGTGTCACAGTCGGCGAGAGCACGCTGTGCTCAGGTGGTCCCCAGGGGCCGAGGGGAGGCGGGAAACCGTGCAGTTAACAGTGAGGACGTCACCATAGTTACACGTCGAGCTCAGCCTGGCGCCTCGCTGCACGATTGTACGCTGATGCCACGTACTCCTTAAAGCAAGCAGGTCACACTCACAGGCCATCACGGGCCAGATAAAAAGGTTTGAGTGTCTGTGGCCGCAAAAAAACAAAAGCTTCCATTTTCTTCTTTTTCTTAAAAATATATTTTTATTGATTTCCGAGAGGAAGGGAGAGGGAAGGAGGGAGAGAAACATCGTCGATGAGAGAGAATCATGGATGTGCTGCCTCCTGCTCACCCCCTAGTGGGGATTGAGCCCGCGACCTGGGCATGTGCCCTTGTCCGGAATCAAACCTGGGACCCTTCGGTCCACAGGCTGACGCTCTATCCACTGAACCAAACCGGCCAGGGCAAAAGCTTCCATTTTCATAGAAATGTAGGTTTATTTCGATGGAGATGTGCTGAATGCAAAGGGCTGAAATGAAGGAGTCATTGTTCACATAATAGAACATTTTAATAAAAATTAATACTTTTCCTTGAACGTGAACTCACCAGACCCTGAGTCCCTGCACAAATGGATAAGCGTCTCGCAGATAAACCCATTTCTCTCGTTCTCCGCAAGCGAGGTATTTCCTGTGGCCACACCAGGCAGGTCAGTCCCAGACCAAGGACGTGGCCACCGGCTGCCGGAACCTTCGCTGCCGGTATCCGTGGGGAGAGACGGTGCGCCTGCGCCTGAGGCGCGTGAGGGACGCGAATGCAACACAATGACAGTCATCAGTCATTAGCGAACGTTGTAGTTCATTATTCATAATGATGTACAACAGGACATTGTAAAAATTAAGTTATAAATTTTTATTAGAATGTTCCTTACATACCGTTCTATTGGCTGGGCCGCAAAAATATCCGTTGTGGGCCGCAAGTTTGACATGCTTGCCTTAAAATGATGGAACGGGTACATTATTCCCATACTAGAGGCCCGGTGCACGAATTTGTGCACGGGTGGGGTCCCTTGGCCTTGCCAGTGATCGGGGCCGACTGGGGCCGGCCGGCTGGGGGTAGGGACCGCGGGAGGTTGGCCAGCCGTGAGAGGTTGGCTGTGGAAGCACACTGACCACCAGGGGGCAGCTCCTGTATTGAGCGTCTGCCCCCTGGTGGTCAGTGCACGTCATAGCGACTGGCCGGTCGTCTGGTCATAAAGGTCCCTTAGGCTTTTATATAAATAGTAAAATGAAGACACTGAGAAAGAGACAGCTGAGTCGCTTGGATCCTAACAGCTGAGACCTGTGCCCGCGTATGCACAGCTGTCGGGCACTGACTGTCAGGACGTGGGCACAGAGCATGTCCCAGGGGCCAGGGGAGGGGGTGCCCGGGCCGGGTGGGGCAGGGCCTGGCGGGAGCCGCTCCCTCCTGTGCTTTCTGCTCACGTGACTCGTCACTCCTTTTCAGACAAAATGGTCTTCGTTGGCTTCAAAGGCAGCTTCCGGCCCACCTGGGTGACCCTGGCCACCGAGGACCACCAGGCCAAAATCTTCCAGGTGGTGCCCATCCCCGTGGTGAGGAAGAAGAGGCTGTGAGGAGCGTGACGGCGGACTCCTGGCAGCGGACCCGGGGGCGGGGGGCGAGGGGCTGGCTCCCCAGTCCCCGCCCAGCGGCTGCCGGGAAAGGCCAAGCATCCAGCCAGGCTGAGGGAAGGACGCCGAAACCCCGGGGCCTCCGCCCACCCCACTCGTGTCTCCTGCAGCCCCGGGCAGCCCGGCCGATGCGGACACCTCATCTTCCCTGCAGCTCTTGGGTGCTTCTCTCCCATCCGTGCCTCTCGGGGGAGGGAGGGTTAGGGACCATGCTCGGAAGCCTCGGGGGCTGGCAGCAGGGATGTGGGCTGGGGCGCTGGGTCCCTCCCAAGCCCCCATGCTCCCAGCACACGCATTAGGGGGGAGATGTAGGCCAAGGAGCCCCGGTTTTAGGGGAACCTCTATCCTGTAAGCAGCAGCCTCCACGGGGTTAGGAGTGGAGCCGGGCCAGCTGCGCTTGAAGAGGTGAGGCTGCCCCTGGGGGTCCACCTTTCAGGGGAATCCAGGTCCCAGGTTGAGATCAGACTGTGTGACTTTTAAAGTCAGAGATTCCAGGCGTCCGTGGCTCTCCCTGTTGTGCCTGGAACCAGGCGCTGGTGAGAAGAGCCGTGAGGCTGAGGGGGGTGCCTAGGGGAGGGGCAGGCCAGGCAGTCAGGGACACATGCCCTCAGGGGAACCAGAGTGTAAAATCGGGACCAAAGCCAGTTCCGAGGAGGGAAAGATCTTCCCTGCCTGGGTAAGCCGGGAAGACTTCCTGGAGGCGGCGGCAGCGGGCTTGCAGGAATGACGGGCTGCGGCGACTCCACTGGTGCTACCCGTTCCACAGCCCAGCAGCCAACGCCGGGCCCCCGGGGCACCCTCTGCCAACCACCTGGGCTCCGGGCTGCTCTGGGGGGGGGGGCCCTGCGGCTCCTGCTGTCCTCTCCCTCCCCCGGCCCACCCGGGGGAAGGCTGAGAGCTCCGTGCAGAGGGGAATGGCCTGTGGTTACAGCTTGTGCGGCCCCAGGGCACTTGGTCTCGCCGTGAACTGCCTGCCCCCCTCCTTCCCCAACCAGGACCTCTCCCCTCCGAGGGGGCCCGGCTGCACCCAGGAGGCCCCTAGCGGGTCGTGCCCGTCCCAAAGGCCCTCCTCCGGGCGGGGTGTCAGTGACCTCATGTTCTTCTGTCTCTCGTTCTGTCAGTTCTTCCAACTCTTCGTGCAAGGGTCTCACACTGTGAACCACGTGGGTGGGCTGCGGTCGCCCCGGGCGGCCGGGAACGGCCCGACTTCGGTCCGGTCCAGTCCGGTCCGGAAAGAATCTATTTGAGGATCCTCAGCTGTACGTACGTCCCGCGCCCGCGAGCCAGGCTTCCAAGGAGAACTACACGCAACGACACGCGTGTCCTCTTCCTGTGGCCGAAACAGCTGGCCTTTCGGGAAGGCGCCGGGTAGTGTGTTTTGTATGTAAACATTTCTTGTGTGCGTCACCGGGGACAGAGATCTATTTTCTATTTATTTATTATCTGTGCGCTTGGGGGAATCCCGGTCAGAGAAATGAAGGGCTGTTTGTTGTACATGTTGTCTGGGGGGGCCTTCGCTGGCCTCAGAGCGCAGGGCTCTGGGGGAGGAGCCTCGCTGTACCACAGTAAATGCGCAAAGATGCCAGCTGTCTGTCTGTTCTTTCCCTTTAAACTGCATCTCACAGCCCTGGCCGGTGTGGCTCGGTGGATAGCGCGTCGGCCTGTGGACTGAAGGGTCCCGGGTTCGATTCCGGTCAAGGGCATGGACCTGGGTTGCGGGCACATCCCCAGTGGGGGGCGTGCAGGAGGCAGCTGATCGATGTTTCTCATCGATGTTTCTCTCTCTCCCTCTCCCGTCCTCTCTGTAAAAAATCAATAAAATATATATTTTTTTAAAAATAAACAAACTGGGTCTCATAGCTAAGAAAAATAAGGTTGGTGAGTTGCCCTCCGGGTCTGGTATCACTATCCCAGCGATTTTCCTTTTATTTTTTTAAATATATTTTTATAATTTTTCAGAGAGGGAGAGGGGAGAGAGAAGCAGCAAGGATGAGAGAACATCACGGATCCGCCGCCTCCCGCACGCCCCCCACTGGGGATGGCGCCGCAGCCCGGCCATGTGCTCCGACCGGAATCCAACCCTGGCCTCCCGTTCCATAGGCTGCCGCTCAGCCACAGAGCCACGGGCCGGGTCAACCTCTTCCATCTCCTGGCTCATGACCTAGTCCCCCAAAGCCGGGGGCACAGCACACACCGTGCTTCCGGCCGATCTGACGGAGAGGGTCCCTGTGACCCCTTCCCACAGACAGCTGCCGCCGGGCAGCCGGGCTCAGGCCCTTCCGGCCTCGTGCCCTGGAGGGAATGCCCGCCTTCGAGCCCCAGCTGGCGGGGGGAGGGGATAGCACAGCCCCGGGCCCGGGTCGCTATGACAACGAGGTAAACGAACCCATGGTGCCGCCGGCACAGGGCGATCAAAGGGGGGAACGCGAGGAAGAGGGGCCTGCGGAGCCTCACTCACGGGGCGGCGGCTGGAGCCCGGGCTCAGACAGCAGCCGGAATTCCACGCGGGGCAGGCAGGGGGGAGGGGGGCCCTGAGGCAGGCGGGTCTCTGCCGCCCCCTCGTGGACACCCGGCTCCATTTCAAAGCGACACCCTAGATGGGGAGCCAGGGCCGGAGGCTTAAGGGATCTCACCCGTCCCCTCTGGGCCTGGGGGCCGCCATTCTGACGGCGCCTCTGGACTCACCGGCTCTGGGTTCAAAATGCACGAGAAACAGCAGCAGGAGGCGGCCCAGGCGCCCCCCGTGCACACACACACATGTGCACACACATGCATGCATACACCAGGGGAGACAGACGTTCCAAGGTGCACACACACAGACACTGCAAGGCCCCCCCACACACGCATGCACACACACCAAGGGAAACAGACGTTCCAAGTTGCACGCACAGACACTGCAAGGACCCCCCCCCCGCGCACACACACATGTGCACACACATGCATGCATACACCAGGGGAGACAGACGTTCCAAGGTGCACACACAGACACTGCAAGGCCCCCCCACACACGCATGCACACACACCAAGGGAAACAGACGTTCCAAGTTGCACGCACAGACACTGCAAGGACCCCCCCCCCGCGCACACACACATGTGCACACACATGCATGCATACACCAGGGGAGACAGACGTTCCAAGGTGCACACACACAGCCACTGCAAGGACCCCCCCCGCGCCCACACACACATGTGCACACGCCTGCATGCATACACCAGGGGAGACAGACGTTCCAAGGTGCACACACACAGACACTGCAAGGCCAACACACGCCAACACACACACACCAGGGAGACAGACGCTGTGAGGCACACACACGCACACACACACACCAGGGAGACAGACGCTGCGAGGCACACACGTGCACACACACGTGCACACACACTCGGCGCAGTCACGTGCTAGAGGCACGTGTTTGGGACGCGCTAACGGGAGCTCCTGCGGGGACGACAGGCGGCAGTGGCGAGGGAGAGACCTGGGGCCACGGCACCGTCTGAGCACGCACGTGTGTTATTTTGTTAAAATCACAACGGACGGGTTTACAAACGGCAGCTCTTAAAAATGGCTCCTGTGTACAAACCGGCCCTCCCCCGGGGGCGGCTCCGACAGGAACGGGAGTCAGAACCAGCGGGGAGGGCGCCACGAGGACCAGACACGCATGTAGGCACTTCATCAGACACGTGTGCACATGGAGGGTGGGGCCCTGGGCCGCCGGTGCCCCAGTGACCCCTTTAACGCTGTCAGGTCACCTGGCCGACAGCCAGCCCTGGGGCTTCCTCAACGGGACACAGACAGGACCCGGGCCCCAGGCCAGCCAGCAGCGGGCAGGGACCCAGAGTCCCTCTAACCAAGAAGGCGGGAGCCCCGGAATCCCAGATGCGTGGGACCCCAGGGACCGGGCTTCCTGTCTCTGCGGGTCCTGCAGGGACAGGGGGTGCACACGTCCTGTGGCCGAGGCGCGTGCTCACTTCACAGTCACGAAGCGGGAAGAGGCCGCTCCAATGGTGTCAGGTCTCAACGTGTCAGTAGAACTGGTGTCCTTCTCTCTCAAAATCAACGCACAAAACCCGAAGCACAGACCCGCGACCGGAGCAGGGCGGCCAGGGGCTCCCTCCGTGTCAGTGGGAAAGGCCACAGTCCGGCTCCCATCGGACACGGCTTCACGGGAAACCTGAACTTGGCCGTGTCCAAGGAGAATGAGGAAGCCGTCCGTCCTTGCAGCCTTTTCAATGGGGACTCGTACCTGCCCACAGCCCGGCGTGTGGTCAGAGCGAGCAGGTGCCGGGCTCTGGAGGCAGCCAGAATGCCACGCGGTGTGGGTCCCCACGCCCCCACGTCCGCCCGCCCGTTACAGGTCCTCGCGCGTCTTCCCCGCTCGGTTGCCTTCCTTCGAGGCGCGGGGCTTGGCGTCTCCCTCCTTCCTCTTGCCCTTCCCGGGCTTGGTTTGGTTTTTCTCTTTGCCGCCTCCGCCTCGGCCAGGGTACACCTGCCCCTCCAGGGTGACATCCGCACACCGGTCCTGGCTGACCAGGAAGTCCTTGATCTCCCAGGCGTAGCCCCCGTCCCGTAGCATGAAGATGGCGCGGTCTGAGCCCACGATGAACCTGGACAGGGGGAGGCCACCGGTCAGCGCACGCAGTGCAGGGCGAGGGCAGGGGTGGGGAACCTTCTCCTGCGGGGCCGTGTGGACATTTATAACATCGTCTGTGAGCCACACACGATCATCAACCTAGACATCAGCCTGTGAGCCTGGCCGGTGTGGCTCAGTGGTTGAGCGTCAGCCTGTGAACCAGGAGGTCACGGGTTCAATTCCGGTCAGGGCACAGGCCCCGGTTGCGGCCTTGATCCCCAGGAGGGGGCGTGCAGGAGGCAGCCGATCAATCAATCAATCAATGATTCTCCCTCATCACTGGTGTTTCTATTTCTCTCTCCCTCTCTGAAATCAATAAAAAATAAATGAGCCTGTTATATCTGGTCAGACCTTTAATTAACTCACCCTTAATTCCTTGGCAGGGCCAGACCAAATGATTTCCCGGGCCTCACACAGCCTGTGGGCCGGACGTTCCCCACCCCTGGACAGGGTCAGAGTTTCTGTGGCACTTAACCAGGAAAAACATTTCCTTTCAAATTCTACAGGACACAGAACACATATTGGACTTGTCCAAGCCCAGTAGCTTCTGAAACTTCATGCCTGAGATCCGAACAGACTGAGCTGGTTCGCTCCTCAGATCAGCTCAGAGCAGAAGCAGCGCCGGGCCCGGCCAGTGTGGCTCAGTGGCTGAGCATCAATCTAGGAACCAGGAGGTCAGGGTTCGGTGCCCGGTCAGGGCACAGGCCCGGTTGTGGGCTCCATCCCCCGTGTGGGGCCTGTAGGAGGCGGCCAATCAGATTCTCTCTCATCATTGATTTCTCTCTCTCCCCCCTCCCTTCCTCTCTGAAACGGAAAAAAAAAAAAGCAACAGCTGGGCTTGGTGTGGGGGGATGAGGCGGCCCCGAGGCTGTGCAGAAGGCGGGGGGTGGGGGGGGACTGCTGAGAGCTCGAGCAGCTGCCCGGGGCACCTGCTTCACATTCCGAGGTGCCCGCTGAGGTTTCATCTGCTGGTCAAGACTGGAAACCACTGGTTTCGACTGGGTCACGCCGAGGCCTAGGAAGGGCATGAGAGGGACCCGCCTGCTGGACAGAAACCCTGGCCCCGGAGGTCACAGCAGCAGCCCAAGTCGTCCACACGCCGCGCTCAGCAGGCGCCTCGGAGCAGGAGGAAGAGAATGGGGTCTGGGTGGACCACTAGCTGCCAGTGGGCATGGCTCTTCTGTTCCCGAGGGGCTCCATCCGGATCAGTGGTAGCGGATCTGTTCCCCCGAGTGTCTCTCTAAGCTGACGAAGGCATTCTGCCCCCGTGACACTCTCGGATTCCTTCATTTCTTATTATTTTCACTAGAGGCCCGGTGCACGAATTCATGCACAGGTGGGGTCTGGCCGGCCCGCCCCAATGGGGGCCGATGGAGGGTGAAGCTGCCGGGGAGAGGGGCCTCGAGAGGTTTGCGGGGAGGTGGGGAGACTGGCCGCTGCACTGCGCATCATAGCGACTGGTGGGTCTGGTCGCTTGGCTGTTATATACATAGGAACTTCTTAAACTAAGACCCTAGATTTAGAACTGCTATTGAGAAGGAAAAAAAGAAATTCCTTGAAATGGCACCTTAGGCTCATAGTCAGTTTCCCTTACACTAGTTCCCTGTGACCCAGCTGCCTGTGGGCGCAGCCACCCAGAGAAGCGTGCTCCACAGGGCAGGCACTTCTGAAGGAGGCACACAGTCCACCTGTAACTGACTGGCCCCAGGAGGCGAAACTAGACAACATCTTACTCAGGTAGCAGGTAAAGAACAAAGGGAAATTAAACCTCATGAGGAAATAAGACAACAATGAAAACAACAAAAAGAACTTTCTGGTTTTGACCAACGATGAATCTTCTTTCTTTTTTTAAAATATATATATTATTGATTTTTTACAGAGAGGAAGGGAGAGGGATAGAGAGTTAGAAACATCGATGAGAGAGAAACATCAATCAGCTGCCTCCTGCACGCCCCCTACTGGGGATGTGCCCGCAACCAAGGTACATGCCCTTGACCAGAACCAAACCCGGGACACCCCAGTCCACAGGCCAACGCGCTATCCACTGAGCCACACCGGCCAGGGCTGAATCTTATTAAAGAACATCCTGCTGCCCGGCCGGCGTGGTTCAGTGGTTCAGGGTCACCCTATGAACCAGGAGGTCAGGGTTCAAGTCCTGGTCGGGGCTCAGGCCCGGGTTGCGGGCTCCATCCCCAGTGGGGGGTGTGCAGGAGGCAGCCGATCCGTGATCCACTCTCATCATTGATGCTTCTTCCTCCCTCTCCCTTCCTCTCTGAAACCAATAAAAACATATTTAAAAAAATAGAGTCCTAGCTGGTGTGGTTCAGTGGATAGAGCTTGGGCCTGTGGACTGAAGGGTCCCGGGTTCGAGTCCGGTCAAGGGCACATATGTACTTGGTTGCAGGCTCCTCCCCAGCCCGGGCCCTGGTTGGGGCTCATGCAGGAGGCAACCAGTTGGTCCATCGCTCACATCGACGTTTCTCTCTCTGCCCCCTTCTCTTCCACTCTCTAAAAAGCAGTGGAAACACACCCTCGGGTGAGGACTGACAACACACATAGAAGAGAATGAAATCAACAGGGAACATCGCGGGCGGGAGCCCCTCAGGGGCGGGGGCGCTCACCTCTGGACGTCGTAGTTGGCGTTGAAGAGGCTGCCCTGCCACAGGCTGGTGATCTCCTCCGTCTCCTTCTCCGTGGGGCTCCCGGACACGGTGACGAACATCATGAGGGTCTTGCCCTTCTTGGTCATCTTCAGGATGCTCTCCGGCTTGCCCGGGTCCAGCTGCGAGAAGTCCACGGGGGCCGCCGGCCGCTTGTGCTCCGGGAGGTCTCCTTCCTCTATGTCGTCGTCTTTCTAGGAGGGGAAAGCCAACCATCAGAAACGGGATCTGCACCCGGCAGAGGCA